CGGCCGTCACCCGGGAAACTGGGCCGCCACCAGGCCCCGCCCCCGCCCTCTCCAGGTCTGGAAAGCCGCACCCACTCGCTGGGCGTCCGACGGCAGCTGATGGGTGGTTTTGGAGTCTGAACCACCCAATGATCCGAAGGGTCCTGACCCCAAGTACCTGGGTCTCATCCCTGGCCACTTTCGGGCGGGACAGGCGGAAGAGCCGAGTAATCTGAGTCCACGGAGCTTATTTCTTCGTTGCCTCCTCTGGCTCAGAGGCCGTGCAGAGTAAACCTCTCCCCTTAGAGACCCGGGCTCGGAGGGGCCAGGCGCCCCTACAACACACCCAGGGTCTGGATTCAGGGACCCAGATCCCCATCCCCAATCAGGCAAAGGGGCTGCTCCATTCACGTTTTTTACTAAAGCACCCACACAAGTTTCTGTGCAATGTACAAACACAAGCTAGCCCTGGGGCTACTGCCTTTGCTCTGAGACAGGGAGATGGGAACCAGACTGACTGATCCAAGCCGTACCTGCCACCCATGCAAAGCCCAAGCCCAAGATCCCAGGCAGTAACACAGCACCCCCTCTGGTCCCCTCCTGGGGCTGCTCCTCAGCACGGGGCCACCAGTTTGCCCCCTACAATGTTGAATGAAAAAGGTTTCCCCTCCCCTGGGAGCAAGGGGGATCCCCAGGTCTGAGAAGTCCCCCTGGAAGTGGCACTGCCCCCGAGTCCTACCTCCCATTCTTCCAGGCCCTAGGGGACTCAAGGGAGGGGAAACTGAGGCACAGAGAGGTGGAGTGACCTAGCCCAGGCCACTCCATGAGGCAGTGCAGGGGCTGGCCCAATCCTGACAGTAAGGGGGGCTGGGCTGGGGAGGGAGGAGTAAGGAGGAATGGCCCCAGAGGCCCCCCCCACTCCAGGGGCCTGTTCAGGATGGATGCCCCTCCAAAGTAGGTTCTGAAATTTCCGGTGCAGCTGGGAGGGCCTATTGAAGACCCTCAGAAAAACAGAGCCCACAGTTTCAGTCCTGGGGGATCCCCCTCAGAGCAGCCGCCAGCTAGGCTGAAGGTCAGTCCTCTGGCCAGCAATCCTTGGCACAGGAGCCTTTGTCCTTTAGTGTCAGCCCCGGGGGGGCCATGATGGGGGTCGTCCAATGTCCACTGTGATGTTGGTGAAGAGCGGCTGCCTAGACACCTCCAAGACCTGATACCGCACTGACCCGATGCCGTCCCGCTTCATGGTCAGCTTCGTGTTCTGAATCTTGGTAAACCTAGGCAGGACGGAAGTGAGTCCAGGTCAGGGCTAACCACCAAACCCAACATCTCTGGGGCCAAGGGTCAAGCCATCCGGCTTCTTCCAGGGGTGACCCAGTTCTCCTTGCCACCCCCTCCACCTGCCTGGAGCTCTTTTGCTCTTATAATTGCCCTCCAAACGGATCTCACCCCCAAAGTCCAGAACTGTGACATCCCCACAAACCTCTCATCTCAGACCTTCCTTCTTTAGACCCAGACATAGGGCATCCCACAGACACCTCAAATGCAAAGTGTCATCTCTGCTCCCCAAACCATCATCTCGGCCACCCTCTGTTCCTCATCCTTTAGTCACTCCTTCACCATCTATTTATTGAGCAGTCCCCATGCGCCAGGCTCTACCCTAAGCACCAGGGACACAGCCATAAACAGGCCAGCAAGGTCCTTCCTCTCACGGCAAGTCTCTGCCACTAGGGGAGACGGGTAACAGACAAGGAACACAGCATTAGTGCGAAGAACAGAGGAGAGGGAGACCAAGAAGACTGACTTGGAAGGGGTGAGCATGTGACATCAAGCTGACAGCAGGAGGGAGAGCATTCTAGGCAGAGGTAGCAGCACCTGCTGACCCTAAACTGGGAATGAGAATTTGCACAGCTGTGTGGCTAGAGCCTAATGGGCCAAGGGAAGAAGCAGTAAGACTTAGCTTGGAGGTTACATCGTGTATGGACAGGGCTCTGTAAGTCAGAGGAAGCAGGTTCTTTATTCTGTGAGCAAGAAGACATGGAGGGATCTTTAGCCCAGTTTGGGGGAGGAAGGGTCAGGGAACATGAACTACAGAAGGGACAGGGGAAGCAAGGAAACCAGTGAGAAGTCACTGCAGTGGTCCAGGCAAAAGGAGAGGTAGTGAAGGGAAATACTGATGGGCTCAGATATGTTTGGGGGTGGCACCCATATGACTTGCTGATGGTTCGGACATGTAGGGTGAGTGGAAGACGAATCCGGGAGAACTCCTAGATTCGAGGCAAAAGCAGCTAGGTAGATGAAACCACCACCCACAGAGTACCTTTAGCCAGAACATCTTGCTATCTTGTCACTCACCCACCCACAGCAGACATCACTAATTGATGATGGCTATTCCTGAACCAGGACCAAGGCTCCCACACTGTGCTTCTCGAAGAGCTGCACTCCCATCCTCATCCCAGCTGCTTTGGTCCTCCCAGTCCTTCTGAGCTCAGCTCAGACCCCTCTCTGAGCTCACTCTCAGATGCCCTGAAGCCCTCTCCTCCCAGTCTTTTGTCCCTGCCCTGCTCACCATGATTTTTACCTAAACTGCTTTTTCATCAGCTCCCTGGGCACCCGGTGCTTCATGCTTCCGCCAAACATCAACCCTACGTCAGTGCGGCACTCCCCACTCTTACACCCTGGGCTGAGCAGAACCACCCTACTGTTCCAGCTAGAGCAGAGCAGCCTCGCTCCCAGCATGCCCCTGGGGCCCCATGGATTCCTTCAGGCCTGGTCGGCTTCCCTCCGGCTCCACCCAGCAGCTCGGCAGCCCTTCACCTTCCTCAAGCTCCAAGGGCGATCCCTTCCATGACTCCCCAAGGCCCCTGGGACAAAAGTGAAACTGACACCCTGGGATGTGAGACCCCCAACACCCATCAATGATCTTCTCTACTGTTAGTCTCCGCCCTCAGAAATTTTAATGCCCCTGAGTTTCGGACTCTCAGCATATACCATGCACGTTCACATCCCAGACTCTGACACATACTATTTCCTTTTATCCAAACTGGCCTCCTCTATGAACCTGGTGAATACGGCACTGTGCCCAAGGTAGGTGGGTGACAAATATTTGCTGAATGAACAGCTGTCAAACTCCAGTTTACTACACATTCTCCAGGAGGCTTCCCACCATCCCTCTGCCAGGACAGCACCTTGCCCTGACCACCCTGTGCCGTAACTGCCTATCTCCCTCCCTAGAATGAACTTCGTATGGGACATCCAGCTCTGCACCCTTCTCCCCAGCAGGTTTGGCACCAGACAGTCCCGGAACGTGTCAGGAAGCCCGTGCCTACATTTCACATGCCCTCAGGCACTTCTCCCAGCCAGCACCAGACACCAAATGTTGCTACACCCTCAGAGACAGAGCCGCCCACTCCAATCAGAGGGTCAGTACTGTCTTTCCAATCCCCGGCCCACACGCCCAGGGCTCAGGCCTTTGTTGAGCTCCAGGCCCAGGAGCTGAGCCCAGTGCTGTCTATCTCTCATCCTATCTGCTCTGGCACAAGTGAGATCTGTGGGGACACCGATGGGAATGCAATCTACTCAATGACAATCTCAGCCCTGCCTTTACGTTTTAGTCACTGCTAGGAATCAAGCCAGGAGTGAGAGCTGCCTGGGTGAGGCTGAGCTAGCGGGTAGGGAACAGGAACCAGAGGCGCTGAGATTCACGTCGAGGGTCGGGGACCTTGGGATCATCTCTGGGGATCCACTGCAGAGGGGGTCACCCCAGGGAGTAAGGGGTTAGGGGCCCTTGGGGTCAGGGTGCTGGGGGTCACCTCTGAGGATTGGGCTCGTTATGCTTGTCCCGGTCGTGCTTGATCATGCGGTAGCGGCCTATGCGGACGTCTGGGCGTGAGATCTTCATCCCAGTCAGGGAGATCCTGGGGATGGGGACAGATGGACTGGAGCAGGCACCAGGAAGGACAAGCGGCCCTGCCCGGTCTGCCACACCCTCTCATGCCCCCTGTCTACTCTCCACCCCGTCACTCACCGGTTGAAGATGTCGTCATCCTCACCACCCCAGCCCCAGTACTCATTGGGGAAGCCATTGATTCTCAGGAACTGGGCTTTGCTCAGGCCCGACACGCCTCCAAAGTAGCCAGCGTAGGGCAGCCTATTGTGCAGGAGGGCGGGCGTCAGTGAGGGGCCTGAGGGGAGGATGGAGATGGGGTGGGGAACAGTGTGCCCCGGGCCAGGAGCTAGGGGGGCACTGGGGCTGGGAGTGAGGGCCTGGGCGTGTTAGGGGAGGTGGGGATGGTGGGGGTGGGGAGTTCTGGGTTCAGCTGCAAAGGGAGCTCTCACCGGAAGCCGAACTTGTCCATGGCGATGGCGAAGTGGCGGGGCTGGTCGCCGCAGCGGTACAGGTTGCGGTCATCCATGGGGACCAGGTCCACGTCGCTGAAGATGAAGCAGTCATAGGAGGCGTCCTCCTTCAGCGCCTCTAGGAAGCCCACGTTGAGCAACTTGGCCCGGTTGAAGGTGTCCTCGCCATGCTGGGGTTGGGGGAGGGGTCGGGTCAGCTCTGGTCCTGTGACTGGCAAGCACCTGCCATTTCCCACTGTCCAGAGTGGTCCCCAGGGGCCTGCTACCCACCCCCCACCCCCTTCGTGGCTCCTGCAGACTCCCAGGATCAAGTCCAGCTCCTTACCCTGGGCCCCGCCTTCCAAGGCCTTT